GAAATCTTCTCGTAAAGTATGCATTTTGCATAATGCTGCTGCTTTTTCCAATAAATCAACAGCCTCTTGGTGTTCCTTTTGACCTTCTAGTACAAGTCCCAGATTCAATAGCAACCGTGCCCTCATAGTGATTAACTCCTTGTGTTCAATATTAGTTTCTCCAAGTCTAAATAAAATGCAAATATTTTATTTATAATATTTCCAAAAAAATAATATTAAATCCATGTAAAAAAAAATAGTAGTACCCATTACATAGACGTATACTCTTCATATATGCCTTTCTTGCACTTGTGAGGGCATCAGATTTTATTCCAGATTTTTCATCTAAGCTTTCAGCCCAGCAAAAGTATGTTCTACCTAATGTTGCATAAGCTCTTTGTTCTTCTAATGTATTTTTTAATTCCTTGGCTCCATCTACCTAACACAAAAATATTTTTATTAATCATAGAATGCTGCAGTAAAATACTAATAACAAATATTTTAAGAACAAACCCAAATAAAGATTTTGATGCTTCAATGCTTCCTCATACGTGCCCATATTTGCATACATTTCTCCAATCATTCTATGTGCCACTGCAATATTTAATTTGTCCTCTAAGATATTGCAGATTTCCAATTGTTCAATATACTCCTGTAATGCATCTTCATATTTGCCACTCTCAAAGTATGCATCTCCAAGCTCTTTGACAATTTCAGCCAATTGCTGAAGGTTGCCATCACGTTTGACCCGTTTCTTCTTTTTAATTAATCCTATTATCAAATCAAGATTTATGTATACCTAGTATGTTGCACCATTTTACAGAACAAATTACATTTACTAATCGTTATTCACCTAATAAAACTTAATTTTTATAAATTTTCAATAAACATGCAAATAAAATGACACTCACTCTCCATATCCATTATTTACAAATGTAAATTATTATAGAAACAAGTGGTTCACATTTGATTCATTGTGTCTGATTTCGTGGTTCGATCGTGTGCTCGGAAACATGCCGGCGCACAGCACACATAGGCAAGCATCAAACCGAGAGTATAGTCACGCACGAAAAGTATCAAACGCTACAGCAGACGCCTCATAACGGTAAAGAAGAGAGCATGAAGTGCCATTGATGGAGAAACGAGGCAAAATCATCAAGTTACTAGACATCGAAATTACCATCGATAGCTGAAAAAAATTCAGGTATTGTCACGTTTTAAAATTTCTACATAAAACATCATATTTAGGATTTTTATTATTTTAAATGAACTGCAAAGTACCTCGGATATTCGTACAATTGAAATAACGTGAAATGAGACCGTGAGAAAACGATTACCGTGCAAATTCCTACGGCATTGAGCGCAATTGAAATCGTTTTAATCTAATCACGTTGAAAAGCGGGAACAAAGCGAATCCACTCGAATCGTAGAATAGTTTTCTTTCAGAGAAATTTCCCGTGCGCGTGTCACGGCGCTCGCTTTCATAATTCTTCGCCTAATTCGCGACGCGCGTGAACTTCAATGACTTCATAATCCACGGAGCACAAGTACGAGCTGGTACGAGGTAGTACGAGCATTTAGCAGTGGGTAACCTGTGGCGCTTGAAAGTTCACCCGTTCTGTGGTTTGTCAGTCGGGCCGTGTTGCGGGTCGTGAGTGGGTGATGGGTGCTGTGTCTTCTTTCAAGTTGACACGAAGTTGACATATTGTGGAAAAAATCCTATCCCGTTCCGTTTTTTTCCCTCTCTCTTTCTCTCAAGCATATACTCTCTGATATCATTTTATGATCTTCGTTAGACCCACTAATGGCAGGAGAGTTGCGTAAAGAGAGGTTCACGGGTAAGTCGTAAAGAGAGATTCACGGGTAAGTCATAGAGATGCTGGCAGGCATTAGAATCATCGTAGCGAGTTTTGGATCGATACACGCGGATTCCTCTTTTTGTCGATGAATTCTATTTCGTCTAATGGATGCTGTCCAATCCTTTTTTTTTCTTTCATCTCATCAATCGCGATAAGGTGAAGCAACGATTCGGAAGATATATCTTACGTCAACGCGAAAGATTTCGTGCGACACTAAAAAAGCGCTTAATTAACGGAATTATTCTGTCCGTGCTTTTAATTACGAAGATAAATTGCTATTAATTGACATGTTCCGTTATGAAAGGTGCACGACAGTGTTATTCCTTTTGTTATTGAATGTTCCACAGGTTTTACAAAATAAATAATATTATTTGAAGAATTGTTTTTTCTCTTCCTTTGGCAATTCAATAAAATTTTGTATATTATTTAACTTTAAATGTTCTGTTATATTCTGTAGAAATTTGGTGTTACATTGGAATAAAATTGTATGAAAAAGACAGTTATAGCAACAGATTTATCTCTTAATATAGTCCATGTGATCAAACCTATTTACAACACTAATCCTTCTTTTAGACCTAGAAATTCATATATATATATATATATATGCTGTTGCGTAACATACCTGTATTTATTTTAAAATCACTTCTCATTAGTTACAAGAATATTTTAGGGATTTATAGTTCTAAAGATGTTGCCATTAAGACAGAATTATTTTTAAGTCAGAGAACATCTGATCTCAACAGTTTAATCTCTTTAGTTCCAGCTCAACCAAGATCACTCCTGTATTTACGTATACCAGAAAGCTCCACAATGTTCTATTGCGATATTGAAATTCACCAACGATGGAAGAAAGAAAACTCGCAAAATCCTGTGACACTTTGGCAAGGTTGAATGAGAATGAACATAAATTGTTTGAAAATCAAAATCATTGTATAAAGCCATTACCTATTACATTTAATAAAGAGGATGCTGAAATAATAAATGACAAAGACTCCATTAATGATACGACGAAAATCAACTGTTGCAATAATTCCTCAAAAACATTGTTATGTACAAAGGATTCTCAAGTAATTTCTTATAATTCAATACAATATTATAAATCATTTATATTACTACTTATTTCTCAATTATCATTTTTAGAACTCTCAAGAAAAAGAGCCACCCTCTCCAACCACTCTACAATGGGGTAGGGCTATAGCTGAAGTGAAAGAACATGCTGTAACAAAATTGCAAGATGAACTTAAGAGAGCACATGAGGAGTTAAAGTTAAAGGATGAAGAAGTTACAAGACTCTCAAGAATCAAGCAGGATGTTGAAGCTGAATTGGAGGAACTCACTGCCAGTCTCTTTCAAGTAAACTTTATGCATTGCATTATTCATTTATGTTATGTAAGGAAATGTGAATCCACGAAGTAAAGTTTCATGTATAAATAGGAGGCACATAACATGGTACGGGAAGCAAATATACGTCAAGCTACAGCAGAGCGCTTATTGGAGGAAAGTCGTATGAAAGCTGAAGTTTTGGCAGCCGAAGTGGCAGCTCTGAAAACGTTAGTGTTAACTTCAACGCCGGCTAAACCAAACTTTCATCTGCATCCGCAAATCGATACGAAAAGTCGTCCAAATAGCGAGGATTGCCAACAAGGTCTTTTTGCAAGAAAACATCGAAGGTGAAAATAATAATAAGAATCAAGAATATCAATAATTCTAGTCACTGCTTAAATTGAATCCCACACATTTTTGCATTTAGGTCACCATCACATTTCAATCTAAAATATGGTCGAGAGAGTTCTCCACCGGATTCGCCGTTGAAAGAACAAAGACCATCTCTGCCGTCGGATCGAGAGACTCTAGAGAGAGAGTGGAAGAAAGACACAGAGAAAGAGAAAGACAAAGAATGCAAAGATTTGGGCCTTGAAGTTGATCCTAGAGTACATACAGAGTTTCTTAAATGGAAAGCTAATCCGTGTGTGGACAAAGGTGATCCTTTCGTTGGTAGAATCTTTAATGAAGACATCGATCTTTGCCTTGATTTCCCTAATAAAGAATTGGGTACAAAAGTTAGACAAGCCGTTCTCGATGGCATCATCTTTATCGAAGCGATCAGCGACAAAACTAAATTCACTTTTCCAAAGTAAATCACGTGTTTTAATAAAGAATCGACGTAATCAATAATTTTCTTTTCATATTTAATTAACATATTTTTTTTCTATGGTTTTTCTCTCTTTTAGAAAGTGTGTACTACTTGAAGCACCACGCCAATGTTATTATCGAATGAGACTCGGGGATCAAGAAAATCAGTGGTACAGCATATCACAAATCTGTCGCAATCGAGTGAGTTTTTCAGCTCTTTAAATGGTTTATCGTAAATTATATAATATCAAATCTGAAATTAAATATTTATTTTTCGTAGATCATAGCGGTCTGCGATTTCTTGAATTACCTCCGTTATATCGAGCGTGGTCTTGTCAAAAGCTCAGGTAAATATAAATCATCCTAATATTTCTTTCTTGCAGCGTAGAAAATTGAATAATTGTTACAGTTCACGATGTTTATTGGGAAATTACACGATTACGAAAGGAAATGGCATTTGCTCGTTTGGGCCTAGCACTATCGTCTTAAAACACTCTCCATGCAGGACTTCTTCTAGTCTTAAATGTAACAAATTAAGCCATGGATCTGTTATTATTCATTTACAACTATCAACAAGTAGATTGTTAAAAAATTTTAATCGTTCCAACTAGCCTCGATCTTTTTGATTATCTACTATGATTGAGATTTTCTAGAGTAAGTGTTAAAGTTTTAATATATGAAAGCTCTCAGATTCCTCTATTATAGCGTGAAACGCTTCGAATTATTTAAAAGAAAAAAAAGAAAGAAAAATTTATACAAGCCAATTTATGAATCTTTTCGATTGAGATTATAGTTTCTAAAGAATATCGAGTATTATTTTTATTCTCGAACGTCGAAGACTTCTTTAAGGATCTGAACGTTCATTATACGTTATTTTACTGTTATAGCAAGCATAAATATGTTTTGATCGGTTTTTTAAAGTGCAATGACGTATTTTTAAGATATTGGGGAACATGGTGCCTTTTGACTTTTCTCTTATTAATAACGCGTGACTAGCTTTTAGTTTAAGCTTCATAGTTAGTGGCGAATCAATCGTATCACGTAAAAAAAAGAAAGTAATTTCATTATTTCTATAATTTATTAACAGTTTTTTTTTTTTAATGGCAGCAGGTAATGCAGGCAGTTGTCTTTGCTCATTTGAGAAAGTGTAAATGTTATAGTCTAAAAGACTAATAGAGATAAATGTCTTCTGAAAATCTCCTTTTTACATAGTCTTTCCTTTGTTTCTATGTACATGTAAGTACATATACCTTTGGACATGACAAACGAGATCTTAGATTTATGTGAAGAATCTTTTTAACCTATCTCACGTATATTCATAATTTAATAGAAGATATGTCATCAAATATTGAAACAATGAAATTATTTCAATGTTTCTTTAAAAATTGAGAAAATGCCATAGATAATTCATTTATGAATAAATCAAAAACGTAAATGTCTATGAATATAAAGAACGGTCGTACTTTATAATAAGTTTTACATGACGTAAATTAATTTAAATTTATATTTTTAATCCTTATTTAAGAACGAATGATATTATATGGAATCTAATGATAATTAGCACTTTTTATATATAGTAATTTATATATTTTCGTACAATATGCATTAAAACATCAATGTTGTCCAAAGGTACACAATTTTCCCCCATAGAGAAAGTTGTAGTATATTCACTCTAAGGGATATGTTTTTTTCTGTTGCAAATATTAACTAGTACCTGGTAATTAGCTCGCATATTAAAAAAAAGTGGTATACTGTTAAGGGTTACACGAAACACTATACATATATTACGTCATATAATTAATATATGACTAAAGTGATAAGAAATGTTCGAAATTATGGATATTTGATGTGTGCTATAGCTAGAATCGTGTTTTACAATCTATCAAATTATGATTCAGTTGATATGAAACAAAAATTTTATATTATCGTTTTCTGTGTAACGCTTTAATTTTATCTTTCTTTTTTTATAATTATTCCAAATTATATATTTCATATAGTATATACAATCAAACATTGTTACTGTTACAAGTGAAAATGTTTTAATTTAATCGACCCAGAAATCTAACCTATATTAACAGAACATTTACGCTTTTCATTCTTCCATGAAAATGTAGATTTATTGAATTACTCTATAATATTGTTTTTATACATCTATGTAAATAATTAATCGCTAAGGATATGTTTCCTCCGCATTGATGGTGCTTTACAGTAATTATTGAAAAATATATCTGTATAAAAATTTCTCAACACAGAGCTCTTAGATTAATTTTAGATACTTGTTCACTTAGCAAATTTTCTACAATCAAACAAAAACGAATGTGTTCGAATGTGCAAATACAACATAACATGTTTTAACTTGAGATAATTTCCTGAAAAATTCGGAAAATTGTAGGTCCTCAAATCAAAATAAAGTTTAGTTTTCCCGCGCGAATAACTTTTATGTGCAGATGCTATTGCGCAGTAGTGACATTCTGACGAATTTAGTTAAAAAATCATTTTTGTATTCAACTTAAAAAATTATCAAATATGTGTTCGAAAATGTTTAAAAACATTTTTACTGTACATAAGTATGCGATGTTATCCTGAAAGGCAGAGGTATAAATTCGTTAAGTACGTTCGTTAAACAATAATGATCGAAGTGACAGGAAAAAAGATGGTAATAATATGTACATTTTAAATAGTCAATTAGGAATACGCTCCATAGTACTTGTTCAAATTGTTCAAAGTTGCCAAAGATCGCTTCCGAATGGTTTTTATCTAAACATATTGAGTTATTATTACTAGACATGGTTTCTAGACACATTTAGATTCAGAAAGACTCAAACAATTTTATGCATAACTATACAAAGAAAGTGTAATAGTAATTGTCAGACGAATAAGTCGTAATAGTAGTTCCATTTACCGATAAATTTTCATGTTCAATTAGGGTAGCACTAAATGTATAAACTTTAGTTATCAATAAGTTTTATGTAATGTAATTGTAATTATTTTTCGACCTAATCTGAATAAAATCTTTGTTTTAATATTGTACGTACTATTTTATTCCTCATTAGGTAATTTCTATACCGATATTACAAATATTTTGCATAAACTCAAATAACGGTAAAAACAGTGAAATAACTTCCGGTTGAAATTTAAAATTTTCAAGCCCTATATTTCAGTTAGTCTGTCTGAACGAAATTATTTAATAAATATTTTTAATTCGGGAAAAAGATCATAATTTTTAGTACTTTTCAATACCACAAACACAAAGAAATATATCGATCTCATATAAAATTAAAAATAGCAAATGAGGTACACACCTATTGAATCATCACAAAGTTTGTCTCTTCATATTAAAGAAAGTTAACTTTTTGTCCCGTAGTTATAATTTTTTTTTTATCATATGTAAAAAAAATGAATTAGCAAAATTACTCTGTCACTGTTATCTATATACTTGGTGTAAAATCAAACTCTGTAATTTTAAACCGCAATAATTATCGCACCATTCGAAACTGCAATTATCCTTCTACCAACATAGTTACACTACAGACGACACCTCGTCTGGGGTTACACAATTTTACGTACACATACAAACACGTATCGTATGAGGTATTCGCATTCAGCCTCTAGATGGTGCTAAAAATCAAGTTCCCTCACTATTTCCGTTACCTGATAAATTATCGGTAATAATGCCATAGACGCTACATACGAGATTCTCGTCTGTGATAATGATTTGTTCGGATCAACTTTGTTTTTCTTCTGTAATCTGCAAGTATAAAAGTTTCGTAAGATTCTACGCGTAAATATAGGTACTACTAGTTGTGCAGTTCAGTCAGTTGTGAACGGTAGTTCGATACAAAATGTGGAAGGCAGCAGCGGTACTGGGGCTTGTCGCCACAGGAATTGCTCTTTTCTTAAGGTAAGTTCGTCGATGTTAAAGGATAATTAATAATAAATTGAATATGACTTTAAAAGCGTCGATAACAGAAATAACAATGTTGTATGTGTATCAGTTATTTTTTAAATATTTCACCACTATTTTTAATCTTTAACGCGAAAAAGCTTTGGCATCATCCTATTAAAAATTACTCGAAAACTGTAGTACTCTTTTTATGTGTATGAAATTCATATAAATGACCTTCGTTTTATTTATAAGTCACTTTTATGTTTAGAAATTTATTCATAAGCTTGGAATGAGGATGTTCCTACAGAATATAGTGTAAATTCTTAAGTATGAAAGAAATTGTTAATTTATATGATTTGATTCATTACAAGTCAATACTTTGATAGTTGCTGTTTTTATAACACATTAAAATTTCCATTCAACATCGACTCAACTCAATGCCACATACATGCATACATACATATACTAACTAGATAGACAAATTAATTTTTTTCGTTGTAAATCGTCCTTTCTCAAATGTAGAATACCAGCGACAAAAAGTAAATTCAACATTTCTGTAAGTAAATGGTACTACACATAGATAATAAAAAATGCATATTCATGATCGAGACGTGTATCATACTTTGTAAACGGTTGAAAAAGATGCGCAGACCTTGGATCTACCAATAGGACCTTGTGTCTACCAATGAGTGACGTAATTTGAGGAAAAAGGATAGATTATTTCGTGTGCTAATATGTCCCGTTTTAAGTGGTCGATGAGATATAATATGATCAAGTTGAGTTTAGGAAGAATTATTGAAGGTCAGGCTTGATCTATGTCTGAAACTACGAAGGATAAAAAAGGACAAATGTTTACATATGTATATACGTATTATGTAAAATATGTACACATATCCTAATTACTATATAATGTATTTTTTATGAGAAGAATAACAATATTAAACGTTTTTTCTCGTTAATTGACGATGGATATAATCTTCTACATATGAAATTACTAATTTAATATTTTTGCTCAATGATAGTAATTATCACCATTACTAAGTTACAACTTCGAATTATTTAGCCGTTTGATCTATTTAAGAGCAAAAAGAAGAGATTCCTTCAATTGAGACACAATAATTTAAATAGCATGTCAATTGTTTGATGTGAGACGGTTTTACCTATTGAGCTGATCGTATAACACGATAATCAAAATGAACAATTTTAAAACATAAATCTATTATTAACTGTTGTTACTTTCTCTTATTAAAAATTCACTATTGATTTCTCTGGTGAGTGGCTTGCATGAAAGTTCATTATCCCAAATAAAACAGACTTTCTCTGTTATTTTCCACTTAAATATCCCCCGTCCTTACGATATGCAAACAAGATCCTTTTTATTTGTAAGAGATGCGAAATTATTTGATAACTGCATAGGACTATCGCGAAACGTACCACAGCTGCTTCATAAACCTTGTTATGAGCTTTCTAAAAAGATAGAATGGTTCATTATGGTGTTATCTAATCTCAGAACCGTTTACAATTACATGACTATCAAAAAGACAAATTGATTACTACCTTCTAAAATACAAACAAATTATACTGTATTTCAAAGAAGTAACATATTATAACTACTTGTACTACTATTGTATGTTTCCCTATTGTACTGTTTTACTTCCATCTTGAACCTTAATTTTTAAGTATGATATTACTCACAGTGTAGGATTTTTAATTAATTTTATAATAGATGACAGTACAGTGGGGCCCCGGACTTACATACATACGTACTAATTGGTTCCAGAGTGGGCGACGTAAGTCGAAAAAGACGTAAGTCGGGGTACACACGATAGCATGTACACATGTATGTATGCAAACATATATACACATGTATTTATCAGATTAGAGGTTACATTTTCTTTTAAATTTACAAAAATGATAGAAGGGATCACATTTAACGTTTCGAATTCTTTGCTCAAGTAACTTCCAGACTAATTCAGTAAGAATTAAACACGTGGAGCGTGAAATATCTGTTAAAAATAAGTGACTATCAAATTGTATAGAAACGACGTAACTGTGAAACGATGTATGTATATAAATCGGGAGGACGTAACTCGGGGCCCCACTGTATCACATTTCTGCGGTTTTGGCAATTTTACTTACTTAGAGCATGACATAGCAATATTATGCAATCACATTATCGCTTAAATACGTATAGGACCACAAAGCAAAGTTCTCGTTGGTAAAAAAATTTATTTTTCAATATGTATCTTATCGCGTATTTTATCTATTTGTCAGCAGTATCTCGTAAAATACTTACATACTTATTTGGAACGAAATAAATTTTTCGAAATATCAATGATTGAATGTATCTTATCGTTGTACGTTAATATTAAGAATATTATAACTTTTTCCTAAATCATAAACCAAAATTTATAATTTTTTTACTCATTGTCGTTCATACTTTTGAATCTAAATTTTTATATTTTGTTCAGTTCCTCGAGCGAAATTAAAGTACCAATCTTTTCGGAAACGAACTGGGGGTTAAAAAAAAACACGAAAGAGTCTACTGAGATACGACCATTTAAAATCGATGTACCAGTATCGGTAAATAATAAAATAAAAAATATTCTTTTAAAAAATGTTTAATTTCCTTTTTAAAAATTATTTAAATTTTTCCGAAGGTTATTGAGGATTTGAAATATCGCCTCGCGCACAGAAGAACCTATGTAGAACCGTTGGAAGATGCTGCTTGGACGTACGGTATTTCCACTAAGTACCTTAATACGGTACTTGATTACTGGAGAGACAAATATAATTGGTCTGAAAGACAAGCCTTGTTGAATAAGTATCCTCAATACAAAACAAATATTCAAGGTAGTAAAAGAAAAAATTTCATAATAAAAGTTGAAGTAATTTGAATCTAATTATCCGTATACAAAATTTTAGGTTTGGATATACATTACTACCATGTTAAGCCTCCAAAGGACAAAAACTTTAAAGTCTTGCCTTTGCTGTTATTACATGGATGGCCTGGATCTGTTGTTGAATTCCAGAAAATTATACCTATGCTAACAAAACCTTGGCCTAATAAGAACTTCGTATTTGAGGTCATTGCACCATCTCTTCCTGGGTATGGATTCTCAGAAGGAGCTGTTCGACAAGGATTGACCACTTCTCAGGTAATATTTTATGATTTATGTTCATATATATATGCAAAGGTTGACATATTTAATGACATAATAAATATTTTTCAGATTGGAATCATATTCAGAAACCTCATGCAGAGACTTGGCTTTGAAAAGTTTTATGTTCAAGGAGGTGATTGGGGATCTGTTATTGTTTCTAATATGGCTGCTCTTTTCCCAGAAAAGTTAGTAGTAACAGTGCCATAAATCTTCAAACAATGCAACAGGAATGTAAATTGCTACTGATTTCGTTTTTAGGATAATTGGCGTGCACAATAACATGTGCTCTACATTGGCACCGAGCAATTTCTTCTGGTCACTCGTTGGTTCCTATTTTCCATCGTTGGTAGGAGCGAGTGAACATTACTCGAAATTCTATCCTTTAAGCAAAGTTATGTCAAAGATAGTAGAAGAAACTGGCTACTTCCATATACAAGCTACGAAGCCAGATACTATAGGTAGCGTTTAACGAGGCAATTAACGAATTGTTCGAATTGGATTTGATAAAACTTATGAAATTTGTCTATTAGGAGCTGCACTGACTTCCTCGCCTGATGGTCTAGCAGCTTACATTTTAGAAAAGTTCAGTACATGGACAAATGCAACATACAAAAAACAAAACGACGGTGGTCTCACAGAAAAGTTTACGTTAGATGAACTTTTAGATAACGTAATGGTATACTGGACCACCAACAGCATTACTACAAGTGTTAGACTATATGCTGAAAGCTTTAATCCAGCATATATGGCCCTGAAAGTTGAACGGTAAGCTTATCATGTCCTACAGGTCTGTGAAATTTTTTTACATCTGTAGAGGACCTTCAATTATATGTTATTATCTATTTTATTTCAGATTGCCTGTAAAGGTACCTACAGCTTGTGCAGTATTCCCTAATGAACTATTGATACAGCCTCAAAGCCTGCTTCAAGACAGATTTCCTCAGTTAATTCAGTATAATTTCATGCCACGTGGTGGACACTTTGCAGCCTTTGAGGAACCTAGACTTATGGCTGAGGACATTTTCAACTTTGTGGAAAAAGTAGAAGAATCTAGAAATAAAAAAGTACAATAAGGAATTGAAATTTAAAAAAGTTTAATAACTTTTACACAACTATTCATATGTTTTTTTTAAAGTACTTTAATAAATTGTACATGTTTCATATTAAATACAAATGAAAGTCTAGATCAGAGCCGCTTAACTTCTTGCTCACGAGCATATTTCCCCTCCCGAGGTTCCCCCACTAAGCGAAACGAACACGCAGAATGTGTAACATAAACCAACGGCAGTCGTTGAAGTGTGGTGGGAGGACTCCTCGCGTCCTCCTCCCGCCTCGCCGCAACTCAAGCGAGACCATCTCAGTCGCATAGTGGGGAAACCTTGGGAGGGGAAATTTGCTCGTGAGCAAGAAGTTAAGCGGCTCTGGTCTAGATCATTTACATTCAGTACAATTTACAGTTTGTCACATTATATTGTACAATGTGAAATGTACAACATTGTAGCAAGATTTACCACACTTAACCTCAGTATGATTTTTGTACAAGTTTTGCATGTTATTTATAAGTCAACAACTTCACTCAGATGATAATAAGTATTGATTATACCACCACTGATTACACACTGCTAGCACCAGACTTTTCAATATTCTCCAATAAATTTTGTAAATTAGTTTCAAACAATTCACATCTGATTGGCATTTCCAATGAATAAAAAGGATTCTTTAAAGCATAATCTGCATATAATTCATACACTCTCTTCAATAAAATTTCTATTCCACTTTGTGTGGGTTCTGCCACCACAATGAACTTAATACCAGTTAATGTTTGGTAACAATGTAGCCTAAATGTGTCAGCTTCCAAAATTTCAATACCAGAGCAACGTGGTTCAGGGCTCAATTGACTGGCAATTGCAAACAAAGGGTAAAACATTGATGCTAGAAAGATCTTTTCATTAGTTGTCATTCTGGCACGACTAAATTTAAGAGTCACAGGGAAATTTTCTGGTTGTTCAAGAAATTCAAATACATCTTTTCCATTTTCTAATTCTCGTCCTACTACAGGACTGCCATTTACTGTAGTTAAAACATGACCCACTACAATAAATGAGTACGATTGTTAAGGTTACAATTAAAAGCTTTTTCCAATATAAAAGCATTATTATTCTTACCGTTAATTCCATCCTCCTGGCCAAACGAAACGACAACCTTTTTATTTTCGTAACTTAATTTTACATCAAGCGGAAAAGTGAATGGCTTCTCGTTCTCGATACGTGGAACATTATGATCGTGATTAAAAATTAGTCCACCTGATTTCGATACGATATAAACACCATAAATAACCATTATTAAATTGTTTCGAAGTGACGATTCACAGTACAATTAATTATCACTTTTTAGTTGTTCATTGTAAGTTTCACCAACTTATTGTTCTTTAAGAAGTGTTTATTTATACAACTGTCAATGTCAACTATTTTTTAGGTTATGTTTCATATAGTGTTCATGTGAGATAAAACAAGTATTTCAATACCAACATAACGTGTACTCTATTTCAATATTACTAAAAATATTTATGAAAACGACTGTACTTTTTGTAAAACAAATCTTTATTTATATCATGGGAGAAAATTCAGATTTTTCGCATAAAATCTATAAAAATGATCCTCTGTTATTTAAAAGTTACATTGGTATGGAAGTGAACATTTTGACGGAAGATGGTACCACAATTTCGGGTATCGTGTATACAGTTGATCCAGTTTCGGAGAGGTTAGGATTTATCATAATTTATTTTATTTCTTCAATTATTTTTTTATTCCTATATAATTTGTAATTGTTTACAGCGTTGTATTACTACAGGGCAACCAACAAAATCGTTTAAATATTGTATTTGGTCATGCGATAAAAAATGTAGAAATCTGTTCGGATAAACCAGTTAAGTTACCAGAATTATTTACAAACACCCCAACGAATATTCTTCAATCGACCATAGAAGAGCGAAAAAATGCTGTAATAAAAATGTTGAAAGAAAATAGATTCTCCGTAAAACAAGAGAACGACATTTTAACGATCGAAAATGTACTTTTAATAAAACCACCCTACGAACCTGCTAACTGCATTTGTGCTAATAGCATTATTTTAGGAAGAATTCAAGACCTTCTTTCTCGTGTAGGAAATTGATATATCGATCAATTTTAAACGCCATTTGTACAACTTTTATTTAATCAATGAATAAAGTAATATTAGGTAAATAATTGTAAAAAATACAAGTTCTCTTAAAAAAATTGCTTTATTTTTTAAATTTGAATTATATTTTCTTTACCATAAAATATTTTTTATTTCGCATGTGTCATGTCATCTAAAATAAAGTTCTCGCTTTATATAAATCAATCGTAAATGAAAAGTGTTTCATTTACAATTGAATTTAACTTTTAATGTAAATATACGTAATATTAATAACTTTTTTAAAAATCTCAATCCATTATTGTTAAGTTGTATTTTCGATTGAAATATGTAATGATTTTTAGACACCCCGATGGAGAATAAATCGAAACGAATATCTTACAAACTATTTGCAACTGTATTACAACAAAATATATGTGTTGCTCCTTAAGAGCAATTCATTTAATATTCAAAATAAAAAAAAAAAAAATTATATTAA